CTGTTCAGTCGTTTCCTTGCCGTGTTTCCTGAACTGCACGATGATTCTGTTGACTGTCGAAAGCGGGATTCCCAAATTTTGCGAAATTTGCCGCTGACTTCTTCCACCATCTGCTTGACCAACTATCCTTTCTCTAACAAAATCTGACAATTTCGAGAGAACCTTGAGTTCTAGGCATGTTGTAGCACAAGATAATTAGTGTGCAGGCCATTTTAATTTTTATTTAGTGCTCTGTGAACACAAATTAGTTAGCATAAATCAGTTAAATGACGAAAAATTAGGTGTCTATTTACTTGTGACCACTCAGTGTATATCGTTTTTCACAAATTATAAGTTTACGACTAAAGGAAGGGCTTGAACTCCCAAAGCCCGCTTTCGCTTACGCATGTTTTCGAGGCTCTACAGTTGCTGGACTCTTGTTGCATTTGTGTGCTGAATTATTCATAATAGATTCTACAGTTTTTTAGCATTTAATGATGGGTATTTTTTGAATAGATTAAATTTAACAACTAAAAAACATCCCTCGGTGAGACAGCAGTAAGTCTAAGTGCTTACAATGCCTAAGGCTAGGGTTAGATTCCCCGCGATCTACACAGCAGATAACTCAAGGTGACTTAGCTCTAATATAAACAAACAACTACGGAAAAAATGTACACGACTTATTTTGAACGACCATTTGAAAGGGGCCTGGCATAGCCAGGTAGTTAGGGCACTCGGCTCGCGGGTTCGAATCCCCGTCACACCAAACATGCTCGCCCTTTCAGCCGTGGGGGCGTTATAATGTGACGGTCAATCCCACTATTCGTTGGTAAAAGAGTAGCCCAAGGGTTGGCGGTGGGTAGTGAAGACTAGCTGCCTTCCCTCTAGTCTTACACTGGTAAATTAGGGACGGCTAGCGCAGATAGCCCTCGTGTAGCTTTGCGCGAAATTCAAAACACACAAACCATTTGAAAGTTCTTGTCAGGTTTCTGCAACATCTTTACAGCCAATCCTGAAAGTTACTGATCATCCACTTGGGAACCCCAAAAGAAATTTCAAAAATATATATATTATTTTAAATGATTCCTTATAGGGGCAATCCAGTTTTCGTGGAAATCCAAATATACAGACCTTAAAGGCCCCTAAACCCCTACGAGTTCCACCTGGGGGGCTCAGAGTTGAAAATTAGGAAAATCTGAATTTAAATTATTGCAGTGAACAGCTCCTTACATGTTAATATAATTTAAAGTAAATCATTCATAAAACGCTAAGACTTTTTGACCTCCCGTTTTTTGCCCCACATCATGACACTTTCGAATATTTGTTATTTCTTTATAACCTGATTCAGGTTAATTTCTTGTCGTTTTATGGAAAAGTTATAAAATAAAATAAGCATAGAAACATGAGATTGAGAAGTGCTATACAAATGTATACTCTTGATACATATAGTTATGAATGCTCGATTCTTATTCCATATTATTGGCCCTCGATTTTTACCATGGACTGAAATGTTTGTTTGCTATCAAATTCCCAAAAGCGCCTTTACCGCAAAAGCTTTAGGGATGAAAAAGTCATTCCTTACCATGTCCGCAAGTCATTTCAGAATGTAATGTACTGATTATAAGTTTTGAAATTCCAATGACATTTCACTTGACACCTATTTTATAACAAATAGAACAGTTTGTAATTATTTTATTCATCAATTTATTAAAACCAACTTTAATTTCTATGCTAAGTAATGGAATTACTCCCATGCTTTTGGGATGCGACCGACCATGCGCTATCACATCACATGTGTCTATATTTGATAAGCCATGATTTACAGCTTTAATTCTATCAAGGATATTGGTCATCCTTGATACAGGATCAGACGGATACTATATTCGTTAAGGAAAGTTTAGGTGAACAATTCTAATTATTCGAATAATTGTAGCAGATTCAATTAACTTGTTTTGAATATTTTTAGGACGACAGTTTCGGTTTGCTTGCGAAGGTCTTCATCAACTTTTAAGACTTTTATTTAAAAGTTTGGTAAATTTTATGACAAAGCGAATTTAATTACTTGTCAGTTATATCAAGTACAAATTCGGGGTTTTCTACGCAATTATGAACATCAGTTTTAATAGGCAGTCATGGGAAAACTATTAGGTAGTTTCGTTTAGTTTGGGTTGCAAATGTCTAATCAGTGAAGACTTATTTGTCCAAATTGTGATTTCATTCTCTGCTGAGTTGAAAATGCTGAAGTCTGTATCAGTAACTCTCCCGTCACACATGTTGTCGCATTGTAGGTGGATGCTGGATGGATTTTCTTCGTTTGACTTAAGACGTTCTTGACTTCATGCCGCTAGATGATATATCGTGGAACCAATATAGACCTGTTTACAACAGGTACCTGTGAATTTGTTAAGATGGCCATAGCGTAGGAATTGTTTTTTTTTACGCTATGACGATCGTACGTCATTTAAAAATTCACGTATCTGTTGTAAAGAGTTCTATATTGGGTCCACGATACGTCACCTAGCGACACGAATTAGAAATATCTTAAATCGAACGAAGAAAATCAGTTCAGCATTTAACTGCATTACTAGGCAGTCATCACCCACATGAACTTTTACACACACAAAATTAAATAAAAGTTGGTTTTCAATGTTTTACTCTGTAGTATTGTTGAAATTAACCCAGTTAAAATTTTATTAAAAGTAATATTTACCCAATATGGTGAAACCATATAAGCTAACGCATCTTAAGTAACGTAAACCTTAGTTTTCAGTTATTGGTTGCTAGAGACAAAATCTGACAGTATTACACTTTATAGAACATTGTATCAACCCTTAAAGTTCTATAACGCTGGACAACAAAAATTTGCTACTGGAGAAAACTCAAGTGATTCGGGTGGGATTTGATGGTGCTAATTTCAAAAATTTAGTGAGAATTTGTCTACCATCTCTAGATTTTGAGTTATTATAATATCTCAATATTTTATCAACTGTATGCGACATACCATGCAATCAGCTCAGTACAATAGATTTACGCTGGGAAATTAAGTGTACTTGGGTAGTTTAATGGGTAAAAGGCATACATTTCTGATAACTTCAAATGCCTCTCTCTCAGTTGCCTCTCAGTCACTCAGTTGATCACTTCGCCTCGCTCCGCGCACAGTCAAAACAAAATCCGATCTTCTTCCTCGCATCATACCCGAGATATAATCAAATTCTGCAAAACTTTGTTTTTCAAAATCTTTTAAAAACTCTAGTTCTGAAAATAAATTTGTACATATTTTTTTAAAAAATCATTTGAAATAGGCTGCTTCCAGTTCAAGTAAAGTCTGAAAATGCAAAAATCACCCAAGAAGTTTATGCTACATTTGTGAAGAATATAAATACAGTTTCACGAAGGAAAAATATCACACATAAGGTAATGGTAGTTTACTGCTACTAAAATTGGGGACCAAGTAAAACTTCTTGGGTCTTGTTTACAGCAATGGAATTTATTAGCTCCGGGAACAAGAGTTTCAGTTAACTGAAGTCATCATCAAAGTCTTGCTTCTCACTACAGCATGTAAGATACTTTGTGTTTCTGTACAAATGTTGATGCATTAATGAAAGAATTAGATACTGAACACCATCCTCAAGAATGGAGACTTTTTTATTGATTAGTCTAAAGTTAGTTTGAAAGCTGTACTTTTGGACAATGGAAACTACTAAACCATCGATTCCTGTTGCTCATGCTGTGAACTTATCAAAGCATGCAGATTATACTTGAGACCATAAAATATTATCACCATAGATGGAACATATATGGTGATCTAAAAGTTATTGCACCCTTGCTAGGCCTTTAGAATGGGTATACCCAACATTGTTGGTTTTTGTGTCTTTGGGAAAGCCGAGATGATAAAAATCATTTCTAAAAGAAAGAATGACCAGTGAGAGAGAGAATTATATACCATGGAAACAGAATATCGAGTATGAACCTTTAGTGAATCCTCACAATGTGTTTCTTCCGTCACTTCATATCAAACTGGGACTCATGGAGAATTTTGTAAAAGGAATGAACAAATATAGTAATGGTTTCAGATATCTGTCTGACAAGTTTCCAAAAACCAGTGAAGCAAAAATGAAAGGAGGTATCTTTGTTGGGCCACACATTGGAGAAGTGCTGATGGATGATGATTTTGATACAGTACTCAATCAGAGAGAACTTACTATCTGGAAATTATTCATACTGGTTGTCAAAATTTCTTACAAAATCACAGAGATGAAAACTTTGCTTTGATGATTAATTATATGTTCGAGAACTACAGGAAAATGGGGTCTAGGATATCACTAAAGATGTACTTCTTACACTCCCAATTAGACTTCTTTCCAAATGATCTAGGTGCAGTGAGCGATGAGCATGGTGAGCGCTTCCACAAAGATATTTCTACAGTGGTACAGCGATATCAAGGACGATGAGATCCTGCAATGATTGATGGGACATTACTGTTGGTTTTCACAGCGTGAAACTGAGAACATAGACAAAAGGCGCAACAAGTCAAGCAGAGATTTTGTAACAAAAAATAATACCATGATGAAAGTTTTGAATATAGCCTGAATATATTTTCAATGTATAATCTTATTATACTCATTGTTTTTTTAAACTGGTATTGCTATTATATTTTGTTTTTGAACATTCTTAAATGCAATTTTCAATGATTAAACAAGTTATTTTCACGATATATTAGAATATTTTGAATAAATCTATCATAACTCGAAAACTAGAAGTGATCAGTAAATTTCAACATGATTTTTAGAATCAGCAGCATCAAATTGCATTTTTTCTAGTGGTAATAGTTCTCAAATATGTGAAATATGGACCATCATATGCTCAACTGATGACGATGTACTTTCGTATGTAAGAATAGAGATAACAAAGGTTCATGCCATGTAATTAAATTGAGAAATTGTAACAAACTTCACTGCCTTGCTTAATCTTTGAGGATGGTGTTTTCGATCTAGAAACGTGCTCATCAAGTCATTATTTATAACGAAGAAAGTAATTACAGTTAGAAGTTCGCCTATAGTCTCCATTGATGAATTTTATCCCAAAGTGATTTGTGCTTCATTAGAAAATTCAAGTTTCTGAAACTGCATCCCCCTCCCCGTCTATATTCAATTATCATACTTAAATCCTACAGAACAGAGATGTCTTAGATTTATTCATTCAAATAAGTTGCTGTAATATTATGCGCTTTTAATAACAATTAATGTATTAATATTTTTGAAGTTTCATGCCTTTTTTATTTTCAGGGAGAACAAGGTGCAATCCAGGTACTACAGATATTAAAAAAAGAACTGGACTTAGCAATGGCCTTAGCTGGTATGTAACGACTTGATTGTTTTCAGTGTAATGTAAAATTGTTGGCTTGTTTCTTTCACAAGTTTGAGTAACGTCAATGCACCGTATGTTCAGATCTTTGGGGTATTTTAATGGCTTCTTTGTATAGTAATGGTTGTTGGAGAAAACGTTCAACTTTTAACTGAACTGTATCTTACGCTACGTAATAATTCAGACTTTTTTTAACCATATAAGTAGAATTGTTATAACACCTATCATAAAAGAAAGAAACAAAAACGTAACCATACGAGTGCTTAAAATATCGCCTCCTGCTGGCTCAGCGGAAAGCTTGAGGGATTATAACGCTAAAAATAGGGTTTCAATACCCGCAGTGAACAAACCACAAGCAGTCCATTGTGTAGTTTTTGCTTAAAACAAACTTCAGATATCCAACAA